CAAGCGAAGTAAAGACAAACACATACAAGCTCGACGAATCTAGAACAAATACATTAGAAAGATAAAAACTGTAAACCGTTTTTGGATAATCGAAGGTATGAAGACCAAAATAGTGTGGCCTTTTATGTGGTCGCAGTGTCCTTTCGTTGTAAAGAAGTTGTTTGACCTTTTTTTCTCAACTTGGTCATATTGGTAGGAAGACTTAGAAGAACGTACCTAGTCCGGAGTCCATTGTATGCATGATTATTTCCAAACCGTAGATGTGGTACTTTCCTAGACGTTTCGCCGGCATCGTCAGTGAGTCTCGTCATTCGTAAAACCATAGTACAGCTCGTCAAAGAGATAAGTGAAGCCCATCCTTTGATCAAATGTGTGCTAAACAGTTGCGGTATCTCCCCTTCTGCCCTGGGCTATTCACATTTCCTTTATCTTCCTATCACGCCTTCCCTGTCACAATTTTTACCGTGCTTATTTTGATGTAGTGTGGTGTGCTCCTTCAAGTGGCATTCATGAAAACTCTTTACACTCCACGCTGTTGTTCTCACCCCCTTCACCCTTGTGCTGAAAATGTTGACCAGTTTGTCATATTGTTACGTAGTCCTTCACTGAGTCCTATCAGAGTCTCCCTCTTTCCCCGTAGAATCCGTCTGCTATCTCCCTGGTAAACGTATTTCACTCGACCCCTGTCTCTCTATCTGTGCTACTTGATGCGTTATTCGCCCACTCCTGCGTATGGGTGACTAATTCGAGGCTAAAGCCTCTAGGCAAGTCTCATGGTCATGCCTTTGCTACATGGACCAGTCTCTTGTAAAACCTACTGTCAACCGGGATCTGATAAATAAGCGGGATGACAAGAAATTTCTTAGCTATATGATAATAAGACAGCGCAATACCAAGCTAACCCGGGTAAATTTTGAAGGTTCTTTATTGAAGGCATCAACTGCTACAGACGACGATAGGACTGAGGTAGTAAACCTATCTTCAATCGCTCTGGATTAACAAACCACGTATCTCTTCATAAGAGGCTTCATTTTTTACTAGGTAATAAGGTATACGTTCTTAGTCATATTCTGGTGGAAGTTGTCAACATAACGGATAAATATCCACAAGAGACAAGGCGGGAGATGGAATTGGAAATAATCCCACGGATCTTGACACATTAAGAACCGATACACAGGAGCAGATTGGCTGGTATACGGAAAAAACTACAGAAGCATGATCAAATAGTTCTTCAGACGGATAAGGGAGGAGCGACGGTTGTAATAGACAGGAAACAGTACACGGAGTAAATGAAAAGTAACCTAGGCGACGGGAACACTTAACAAATACTAAGGAAGGATCCAACCATGAAGATCAACGGGACACTGAAGAATATTTTTATGGAAATGCATAATAATGGGGAAATTGATAGATAGATGATGAAATATTTAATCAAAAATGGCACAAGACCACCGACCGCCTACGGACTACCGAAGATACACAATGAAGGAAATTCACTAAGACTAATAGTCAACAACAAGCATGGAGCAATAAATAAACTAGCGAAATTCATTTGCTTGAAGCCCAAGAAAGCAAATGACATACACTCGAATACCGTTAGGAATTCATATGAATTTTCTCAAAGGATCAAGAACATTGGGTTTGTGGGGTCGGAACTGTTAGTTAGTTTCGATGTATAATCCATGTACACAAACATCTCAGGCGAGATAGGAGTAGGCGCCTTGCTGGAGGTTTTGTAGCGAGAAAAGGACATCCTGGAGGAAAAACGGATACGGAAAGAATGGTTAGCACGACTGATCAACCTGACAGTAAGGACCACATATTTTACATTT